CTCTCCAAACCTTGTTCGGATGTTGGTGTGACGTCACAAAAAACTTGTTTTACAATTTTTGAATTTTAACCACATTAATAAAAACTGAATGAAAACTTCTAATTTGCAGAATCGAGATGAATATAGCTGTGCCAATGTATAACCTTTTTTTTAGCCAATTCGTAGAAATTTGACTGATTTTGTACCTTTGAAGGTTTTACGTGCCTTTCAATGTTTTTGATCTAAATTAAAATTGTGAAAAATTTTTATGAGTCATAACTTTTAAGAACTTTAATTAATCATCGTGGAAAAATGTCGTATAGACATAACAAAATAATAAGGTTTTTACCTTACTGGAGACAAACAAGGATAAACTTAAACTTCCTTTGTGACTATGATTAAAAGCTATGCTTAGTGGATGCTTTTATTCATGTGCAAAGTTCATTTCGATTTCTGATTTGTAATATGGAATTTTTTTATGCCCAAGAAATAAGTGAATATGATTGGTATCTCTCTTATAGCTTTCCATCTCTTCTTGTTTTTATTTCATCTGGAGTGAATCAATTTGTGTCTCTTTAAGATTCACTTTCTCCATGGATAGTTGCAATTGTTTTGTTTTTGCAACTCGACCTAACGGAGTACTCCTTGTTCTAATTTTTTGGTTTGATCCTTTAGAATTTGAATTGTGGCTAGTCTTGTATGATGCTTATGGCCACTCTTCCGATAGGTTTTCCAATGGTATGGGGCAAAACATTCTTAGACGCGGCTGTATTCATCAAGCCTCACTTCAGTTATTGGTAGCCTGCTGTTGTCGGTGAAATCCATCGTCAAATTCGCCATACGATCATTGCATAACAGTTGCAAAGATTGATACTTTTTTACTGTAGATTAGGGCAAACTTGCAGCTATGATTAGGATATTGCTATTGTCAAAGCGAGTTGCGATTTGTAATAAATGCGATGTAGCGTTCTGTTCCTTCAATGAACCATGTTTATGGCTGTGTCGTTGTTGATTCAATGTAATTATTTATCAAGGAATGTTGACAATCCTTTCTGTTCAGTATTGCGTTCATGCTAATCAAATTTGATGACGTTATTGAATATTTAGCTTACAAAAGGCAGAAGAACTTATGGCATGGTTGTTCGCTGGCGATAGTTATATGCTATATAGGTGGTTCAGTAGTGAGGTTGATATGGGATTTTGTCTGTATGATGAGAGTAGTGGGGTGTCAAGTTACATGGAGACCTATGGCTTTTTGGGTATGGTTGGAGTGGTTCGTGGTTTAAAGTAAAGTGGGGCTAGTTATTTGAATCTATATTTAAGAGTCCTATACTAATTGACCCAATGGTCGTATATGATACAACGAGGTCTTAAACAACATGGAGTCCTATACAGATTAGAGTCCTATACTTTGGGGTCCAATAGTCGTATACGATTCTTTAGAGTCCTATACAACAAGGATTCCTATACTTTGGAGTCCAATGGTTGTATATGACCCAACGGAGTCCTGTTTTATTTTCGGGTTCTTAAACTGAATCCTACTTCCAAGATTATTGGTTCTACCTCTCTCCACCATCATACTGTCTTTGCTAACAAAATCTATGAAAATGTTTTATGTTGGACGTGCTTTCAACTGCAAATCAAAGCCAAGTAAAAAAAATTCTAACCCATACCTCTTCCATTTGTTGGCCCGCCACCAAAGTATTCCATTCTATTCCCACTTCTATCGACGAGGTATCCATAATATGGGGTACTCGAGGAAGGGAAATACAAACTTATTAAGATGCAATCAATTCTAGTGAACTGGCGGCAATGACGTGACGAGTCGACAAAGCTTGTCAAGTCTTGAAGTCGATTCGTGTAGGTTATTCTGTGCCTGTGAGTTGAAATTCCAGAAAATGCTTTAATTTGTTAAAGACAAATTTCAAATTTCAGGGCTTGGGAATTATTCTTGTTTTTAAGCGCAGCTTATTTTGTGGTGAGAGGAGAAGACAATTTGTAGGTATTTTTGACAGTTGGTAGGGGTTCTTTTCGCCCATTCACTCGTGGGATAAGAGTTCCAGAACAAGATTAAACAAGTCTCTTCTTTAGTTCTTTTTCTGGGTAATTTGTGTGTTTCAAAATCCGCATTACAAGAACTGAAAACACTGATCACGTATAGCCTATTGAAGGGCAGGCGATGCCCTCCTAAAACCACACCATATTTGAAAATGAAAATATATTTTAAGAGTACATTCAGTCGCAAAGACGAAAACTTCTTAAGGACATTGAGGGCAAGAAAATTTACATTTTTTTGTAAAAAGTGTTTTTTGGGCACATGTTAACTTCATGTTTCAAAGGATGCTTTAATTTAAATCAATAGTTGCAACTTGGTTTGCGCCTAAAAACTACAAACACGCTCGAAACATTGTTTATTGATTAGTTTAGAAATACTGCAGTTTATTTCATGCCCTTTTTGAACAATGGGCAATAATTTCCTGCTTATAAATTTTAAGACATCTTTAAGATAGACATCTATTGCCATGACTTCACTGATCATCAAAGAAAAAATGTTAAAAATGTTAACATGCCAGTTTAAATGATTACATTAATGTTTATTTTTCTCAAATTTGTATAAATTTTCAAGAACATCTTTATTAAACAACTCTGTGGTACTTACCGATACGATCCAGGGTCTTCAAACCCTCTAACCACTATGCGTGATTCGCTGTCGTGATCAAATACTGCGAGAACATTTTCTGTCTCTCTTTTGCATTTGACTTTTATTGGTTCTTGCATATTCTTGTGTTGAATCCAGTATACCCCATTGTCAAGGTCCCCTGGTAAGGCCTCTTTGCAGGAAGGATAAATCTGTAAAACTATTGTAAATACTACAATTATTTAAGGAATTGGAAGATTGATCGGAACATTTATATCGGAATCAACAAACATTAGACGGTAACAATCTAAACGAGGTATGTTTGCAAAAATGTTCAATAATTATTTAATGTCCAATGTAGCGAATTATTTAAAAAACTGGGGACATGTTGTTGTGCCTTTTTCAGAAGCTAGTAATGTAGAAGCATTGTGTGGCATTCATAAACAGAATGGTTTCAAAATTTGTTTGTTTCATTCATTTGTTTCAAGTTTGTTCACAGCTTATCGATCGACAGATTACGCCAATTGCATAGAATGTATTTCATGCTCCAATGAAAATGATTGAAAATAACTTCATTAAAACTTGCTACTTATCAAACATTACCTGCTTTTTGTGAAACAAATCTTTTATCGAATTGTAAATAGAAAAAAATCAATTTATTTTTCTCTCAATCTAATAATTTCTTTCCTTACTGTTTTTCTAACATCACCAATGTGTCTTGCAACCTTCTTTATATTATAGTTCAGCTTTGCTATTGTTTCGGAAAAGGCTATTTTTGAAAAGCGAGTCCTAACCATTTTGCTCTTCCCACCTTATCGCCCAATTAAGAGTAAAATGGGGAATATGAAATAGTTACTCAAGATTTTATCGCAAGAAATACTCTCTGCAAAATTGCTTTACCTTTTCTCCAAACTGTTTCTGTATCTTCGTCTGCCTCACTGATAACGTAATTCTCTGTTAAAAGCTGAAACTCTTGTGTCACCTTGTTGAATTTAATGTATGCACAACTTTGGTCGCGATCACACCTAAAATGCATCTTTGAGATGCCAACATTTATACCATTTTGGTCTCCTTTTTCAAGCATAAAGAAGCTGCTTGATACCACCACAGGCGCGTTTAAGAACAGGAGCAACGGATGCAAAAAAACACTGAACAACATTTTCCACCATCTGTAAAATCTAACTGACTTAGACATTTCACCAAACATGCAAAAGATTTATAGCCTTCCTATTAGCCATCTGTTTATAAAACTGCAAGAACAAAACAAGCAGATCAAACAAAAGAAAGCAATGCAAATTCTGTTGAGTCAATTTAACTTAATCTACGTAGAAACGAAACTATTGGTGATTGTAAATCTCTTTCGTCATCATCGTCATTATTAGAAAATTATTTGTTTCAACTGAAACGTTATGAATATTCAGTTTACCTCACTGTCGTTATAGGTCTCAGCAAATATATACATCCCTCAACAGAAATCGTTTAAAACACTATTTTTATTGCAATGAAATTAATTCTGGATTAAAACAAAGTTAAATATAAAATTAATATAGAGCCGTAGAACAGGTGACATATTTTGCAAGTTATTCGGCCTGTTAGGGCCTGTTTGCATGGAGAAAATCATCCCACCTTCCAGCCTGTGAGCCACGAGGTGAGATCCCCCTCTTCTATAGAGTAATTTGTGTTTCTGTCTTGTAGTCCAGAGGGACAAGGGGGAACATTACCACCCGACGAGGGACTTTACCAGACCAACTTTTGCCAGACCAGTTTGTGTTGTAGAATTCAAATCTGGATGTCGATCGGGCGGGAGAGGGGGCTTTTCCGAGAATAGGGGTTTTGTCCAAAAACTTGGATGCAGCCTGTGAATGAGCTGTCAATGACCACCCGAAGAGGAACTTTACCAAACCAACTATTGCAAGACTAGTTTTTGGTGTAGAATTCAAAAAGAAATGTTGATAGGGTGGGATAGGGGGCTTTTTCGAGATACAGGGGCTTTGTCAAAAACTGGGATAAAGCCACAGAATGTCCTATAAATAGATAAAGTTTATTTCTCATGCATGTTTATACACTAGGTAAGCAAGAGCATTGAACTCCCCCCCCCCCCACACACACACACACACACACACAAAATGGCCGCACCGCCGCGAACATTTTATAGCAAACTGAAATTCAAATAGTTAAAGAAAATTAAATAAAAGTTTTAAGATGACCGTTTGGGTGGGAAGTAATGGGAAATTTATCAAAGTAGAGAAATGAAAATGAAAAATGCAAATATATCGTTTGATTCTTCTTATTTTTCAGCCATATCAAACACTGCGAAAACAATGAAACTGAGCTATGGCGATAGGAGTACCCTGTATTATATTTGCAACAAAAAAGGTTTTTCTTTGCACAAACCTGTAAGATTTCCGTAAGGCGAACTTGGAAACAGTTATTTTTTTGCATCTTTTTAAACAGGCTTATTGATCTTAAAGCTTCAAGTGACTTGACCCGGATTACACTGTGGTTTTACGAGTGTACCTTGCAAGTGCGATCAGTAAAATCCCGTTTTCTCCGGCTTTACAATTCGTCTACATATAGTAGGCAGGGCTATGGCTGTGAAAATCTGATTTCTCTCCTAACCAAAATGATCTCGATGGTTTTATATACTTTCGAGTATGGAGATTCAGAATCCAAGATGGGACCAACAAAATTTTGCCTCAATATCACGTGATTGATGACGTCATCAGCAACGGCAGAAACAGTCATAAATCCATTATATATTGAAATAAATTGTACAATTTAGCAATTCTAGGTTTTATGTGAGTGCACATTTCAAGAGCTTTCAATTGATGTATCATATAATTAAGTTTGCTGACGTTTACTTATTTTGTGACGTCATTAGTGGATTTTCCCAAAGTCTGCCGCAACCTTTGTGCTGATAACTAAGTGAGTAGGAATTCACTGCAAATGCGCTAAAGGCCCATTTCCACTTCGTTCGGATTTCGGATTTCGCATCCGATCTCCGATTTCCGAGCGAAGAACGTTTTCCTATTTAAATCTACACTTCCACGACGTTCGGACGAATCTTTTGTAAAGGAGTCCAAAAATCGACAATTTGGCGCGCTTTTCAATTGTTGTTTATCGAAATCGAAAATGGCTGCTTTGAATCGACGAAGATTGTTGATTTTGGTGCTGCTGAGAAGAAGACAGCTGAGAAGGAAAGACAAATACCGTAAGAGATTTTGGTTACGACACGGCCAATCCATCAACAGAGGAAACAAAAAGGAGAGTATTTGAACTTGGTGAGAGAAATGCAATTGGCAGATCACGAGAGCTTTTTTAAAATTCAGCCAAGCAGCCTCTTGTGCATTCTTGTTTTTATACATAGGACTTCCCATGTTCCAAACGATTTCATTTCTGTGCACTTGTTCAATTTACACACCAACTAAATCGCTATTCCAATCAGTTTTTGAAGAAGCCATCTTTGAATCTGTGTTCAGAGAAATGGTCTGGATGGTCGTCTAGAAATGCAGTGCTCTGATTGGCTAGCGATATCCGGGACCTCTCTGTTCGCAATGCGAATTCGGATGAAAAACAAAACTTCCGAACGCGTCAAATTCGGATGCGAACGTTCGGATGTGATTTGCGAACGTTCGGATGCGAACTGCAGACAATGAGTTCGCATCCGAAATCCGAAATCCGAACGAAGTGGAAATGGGCCTTAAGACTGTGTTGATCCAAATATGTTTGATACTTCTTGGCGTTTTTAGACTATGCTTGACACTAATAAGTCATAATAATCATCATAATGCACGTGTCTAGTGCGATAGCAATGACGGTAAAGCAGTTTATTTACAGAGCGACTCTACACCTGGGCGGTGCAAGCTTTTTTACAAGTATAGTTCCAGGACAGGTGTGGCAGAATTCCTCGATGAACTACCGGTAGGAATTAGGGAAGCCAAGGCTGCAATGAAATTTTCATTACCAACGCGCTCGTAATTATGTATAGAAGGAAAGAGAAAATTTCAGCCCAACACTGAAATGAAATTAGCTTTCAAAAAATTTCAACTAATTTCAAGAGAATACAAGTCACAGAAATGAAAATCCTTAGAAAGAAAACATTTCAATATTGCTAATATTTCCAGAACAGCTCCCAGAGCTCTTCTAGTCTAAACAAACACCAATTCTAACTCAAAAAAATTAGGGCCCATTTGTAATTTACATGCATCATGGATTGGGCCTCTAAAACAACCCCGCCTAGGATGGCGCCTACAGACAAAAATATTATCTTTGAAACTACAGTGCATGCCAAATGTCCTTGGACTTTGCATGTGTACAACATGCATGTCTCGTCGTATCCTGCTCTTTACGTTGCTATAAAGTTGTTATAACGCTGAGCTGCACGCAAGTTTCATGTGAACGAATGTTTAGTACATTAAAGCTTATAAAGAGTAGATTAGAGCAACCATTGGTCAGCCACACCTTGAATCACTGATGATTCTTTCAAGTGAAGAGGAAAACTTCCCGTTAGGGTTAGTTTGTTATAACGCTGAGACTATAAACACATAATAAATCAGTACGCGTGCTCTTCGCCGGCGCTTCAAAGAGAACTGATCGTTTAATGGATTTTATTTAGAGCAAGAAATTTTCATTTTCTTTTGTTGAAGTATTGTTAAATCAGTTACGACTCTTTAGAATGTAGATAGGACTGCAAAACAAACTGATCTCAAGTTTTGTGTCATATGACAAACTTATAGTACTGATTGACTGCTGCATTCCTATTGCCCCCACATCGCCGCTTAGCGCATGCGCCCAAAATTTCTTTTTATGGTGATAATAATTAATTCTAATGAATCGTTTTGAGGTATGGTTAGTAACATAGCTTTTAGGTTTGTAGCTCGGATAGTACAGGCCCCTTTTCTGAATATAGCAACCCGAGAGATTTGCTGCCAGTTCGCCTCTGCCTATAGTTGATCCCTGTGGTGCTACAATTTCATTGGTTACTAGACATTTTCACTTTCAGCTTTGGCTGATCCGTATGAGTAGAAAAACTTTCTGCATATGAAATTTGCCCGGTCGTGAGCAAGTCAGGTTTGATTTACTTTAGTTGGTTTTTTATCTTGGTGGCATATAAAATATTATTTCCTGTGAGGTATATTTGTGCTTTGTGTCGACGATATCTGTGGACAGTGAAAGCAAAAATGAAATCGTTGCTACACTTAGAGCAGTCTATTTACAGCTATAATATAATATAATATAATATGTAATATATAATATATATATATAATAATATAATAATGTTAAGCAATAGAGCTGTTCAGTTTGCAGGCACCACGGAGCGTTGGGAAACGTGGCGGGTCTAAAAAAGTGCGAGGGCTAAAACCTAATGAAAAATGGCTTTACTGGTAGTTTACTTCTCAATATTTTGCATTTTTTGCGAAAAGTGGGGGGGGGGGGTAAAGCCTCTCCCAAACCCCCTCTGTTCCGCGATGTCTGGTGTGACGTCACAAAAAACTTGTTTTACAATTTTTGAATTTTAACCACATTACATAAAAAACACGATGAAATACTTCTAAATTTGCAGAATCAGTCGAATAAGCCTGTGCCAATGTAACCATTTTTTTGCCAATTCGTAACAAATTTGACTGATTTTGTACCTTTAGAGGTATTTCACGATGCCCTTTCAATTTTTCGATCTAAATTAAAAAATTGTGAAAAAATTTTTAATGACGTCATAACTTTAGAACTTTATTAAATCATACGTGGAAAAATGTCGTTAGACATAACAAAATAATAAGGTATTTTACCTACTGGAAAGACAAACAAAGGATAAACTTAAAGACCTTCCCTTTGTGACTATATTACAAGCTATGCTTCAAGTGGATGCATTTTATTCAATGTGCAAAGTTTCCTTTCATTTCTGATTTGTAATATTGAGAATTTTGCAGAAATAAGTGAAATATGATTGTATCTCTCTTATACGACTTTCATCTCTTCTGTTTTATTTCATCTGGAGTGTTCAATTGTGTCTCTTTAAGCATTCACTTCTCCCACTGGATAGTTGCAATTGTTTTGTTTTTCAACTCGCAACTAACGGAAATCACCTCCTTGTTCTAATTTTTGGTTGATCCCCTTTAGAATTTGAATTGGTGCTAGTCTTTAATGAATGCTTATGGCCACTCTTCACAGATAAGTTTTCCAATGGTATGGGCACCTTCTTCAGACGCATCACCTGTATCTCCAAACCTCACTTCAGTTATTGGCAGCCTCTTGTTCTCGGTGACAAATCCCTGGTCAAATCGCCATACCGCATCATTGGCATAACAGTTGCAAAGATCTGAACTTTTTGCACATGTACCAGTTATCCCACAACTGCAGCCTATGATAGGATATTGCCTATTCAAAGCCAGTTGCATTTTTAATCATTAACTTCTTTCCTTCCAATGAACCATGTTTATGCCTGTACCCGTTTTATTCCAATTAATTATTTATCAAGAAATGTTGACAAAATCAATTTCTATTCAGTATTTTGCTTCATCTAATTCAAATTTGATGACGTTATTGAAATTACTTTAAGTTACAAAGGTAGAAAGAAATATGCAGGTATACCTGCGACATTATACTATTGCGTCATATATATTATGGGATCTTGTGATCCTGTATGATACGATGGGGATTTCAACTACATGGAGTCCTATGCTTTGGGGTCCTATGGTCGTGTTTAATACAAGGGGTGCTATATTTAAGAGTCCTACACTGTTTGACCTAATGGTCGTATATGATACAACGAGGTCTTAAACAATATGGAGTCCTATACAGAATGGAGTCCAGAATGGAGTCCAATAGTCGTATACGATTCTATGGGGTCCTATACAACAAGGATTCCTATACTTTGGAGTCCAATGGTTGTATATGACCCAACGGAGTCCTGTTTTACTTTCGGGTTCTTAAGCTTGATCCTACTTCCAAGATTATTGGTTCTACCCCGCTTCATCTTGAAACTGTCTTTGCTAACAAAATCTATGAAAATGTTTTATGTTGGACGTGCTTTCAACTGCGAATCAAAGACTAGTCAAAAACAATTCTAACCCATACCTCTTCCATTTGTTGGCCCGCCACCAAAGTATTCCATTCTATTCCCACTTCTATCGACGAGGTATCCATAATATGGGGTACTCGAGGAAGGGAAATACAAACTTTTAAGATGCAATCAATTCTAGTGAACTGGCGGCAATGACGTGACGAGTCGACAAAGCTTGTCAAGTCTTGAAGTCGATTCGTGTAGGTTATTCTGTGCCTGTGAGTTGAAATTCCAGAAAATGCTTTAATTTGTTAAAGACAAATTTCAAATTTCAGGGCTTGGGAATTATTCTTGTTTTTAAGCGCAGCTTATTTTGTGGTGAGAGGAGAAGACAATTTGTAGGTATTTTTGACAGTTGGTAGGGGTTCTTTTCGCCCATTCACTCGTGGGATAAGAGTTCCAGAACAAGATTAAACAAGTCTCTTCTTTAGTTATTTTTCTGGGTAATTTGTGTGTTTCAAAATCCGCATTACAAGAACTGAAAACACTGATCACGTATAGCCTATTGAAGGGCAGGCGATGCCCTCCTAAAACCACACCATATTTGAAAATGAAAATATATTTTAAGAGTACATTCAGTCGCAAAGACGAAAACTTCTTAAGGACATTGAGGGCAAGAAAATTTACATTTTTTTGTAAAAAGTGTTTTTTGGGCACATGTTAACTTCATGTTTCAAAGGATGCTTTAATTTAAATCAATAGTTGCAACTTGGTTTGCGCCTAAAAACTACAAACACGCTCGAAACATTGTTTATTGATTAGTTTAGAAATACTGCAGTTTATTTCATGCCCTTTTTGAACAATGGGCAATAATTTCCTGCTTATAAATTTTAAGACATCTTTAAGATAGACATCTATTGCCATGACTTCACTGATCATCAAAGAAAAAATGTTAAAAATGTTAACATGCCAGTTTAAATGATTACATTAATGTTTATTTTTCTCAAATTTGTATAAATTTTCAAGAACATCTTTATTAAACAACTCTGTGGTACTTACCGATACGATCCAGGGTCTTCAAACCCTCTAACCACTATGCGTGATTCGCTGTCGTGATCAAATACTGCGAGAACATTTTCTGTCTCTCTTTTGCATTTGACTTTTATTGGTTCTTGCATATTCTTGTGTTGAATCCAGTATACCCCATTGTCAAGGTCCCCTGGTAAGGCCTCTTTGCAGGAAGGATAAATCTGTAAAACTATTGTAAATACTACAATTATTTAAGGAATTGGAAGATTGATCGGAACATTTATATCGGAATCAACAAACATTAGACGGTAACAATCTAAACGAGGTATGTTTGCAAAAATGTTCAATAATTATTTAATGTCCAATGTAGCGAATTATTTAAAAAACTGGGGACATGTTGTTGTGCCTTTTTCAGAAGCTAGTAATGTAGAAGCATTGTGTGGCATTCATAAACAGAATGGTTTCAAAATTTGTTTGTTTCATTCATTTGTTTCAAGTTTGTTCACAGCTTATCGATCGACAGATTACGCCAATTGCATAGAATGTATTTCATGCTCCAATGAAAATGATTGAAAATAACTTCATTAAAACTTGCTACTTATCAAACATTACCTGCTTTTTGTGAAACAAATCTTTTATCGAATTGTAAATAGAAAAAAATCAATTTATTTTTCTCTCAATCTAATAATTTCTTTCCTTACTGTTTTTCTAACATCACCAATGTGTCTTGCAACCTTCTTTATATTATAGTTCAGCTTTGCTATTGTTTCGGAAAAGGCTATTTTTGAAAAGCGAGTCCTAACCATTTTGCTCTTCCCACCTTATCGCCCAATTAAGAGTAAAATGGGGAATATGAAATAGTTACTCAAGATTTTATCGCAAGAAATACTCTCTGCAAAATTGCTTTACCTTTTCTCCAAACTGTTTCTGTATCTTCGTCTGCCTCACTGATAACGTAATTCTCTGTTAAAAGCTGAAACTCTTGTGTCACCTTGTTGAATTTAATGTATGCACAACTTTGGTCGCGATCACACCTAAAATGCATCTTTGAGATGCCAACATTTATACCATTTTGGTCTCCTTTTTCAAGCATAAAGAAGCTGCTTGATACCACCACAGGCGCGTTTAAGAACAGGAGCAACGGATGCAAAAAAACACTGAACAACATTTTCCACCATCTGTAAAATCTAACTGACTTAGACATTTCACCAAACATGCAAAAGATTTATAGCCTTCCTATTAGCCATCTGTTTATAAAACTGCAAGAACAAAACAAGCAGATCAAACAAAAGAAAGCAATGCAAATTCTGTTGAGTCAATTTAACTTAATCTACGTAGAAACGAAACTATTGGTGATTGTAAATCTCTTTCGTCATCATCGTCATTATTAGAAAATTATTTGTTTCAACTGAAACGTTATGAATATTCAGTTTACCTCACTGTCGTTATAGGTCTCAGCAAATATATACATCCCTCAACAGAAATCGTTTAAAACACTATTTTTATTGCAATGAAATTAATTCTGGATTAAAACAAAGTTAAATATAAAATTAATATAGAGCCGTAGAACAGGTGACATATTTTGCAAGTTATTCGGCCTGTTAGGGCCTGTTTGCATGGAGAAAATCATCCCACCTTCCAGCCTGTGAGCCACGAGGTGAGATCCCCCTCTTCTATAGAGTAATTTGTGTTTCTGTCTTGTAGTCCAGAGGGACAAGGGGGAACATTACCACCCGACGAGGGACTTTACCAGACCAACTTTTGCCAGACCAGTTTGTGTTGTAGAATTCAAATCTGGATGTCGATCGGGCGGGAGAGGGGGCTTTTCCGAGAATAGGGGTTTTGTCCAAAAACTTGGATGCAGCCTGTGAATGAGCTGTCAATGACCACCCGAAGAGGAACTTTACCAAACCAACTATTGCAAGACTAGTTTTTGGTGTAGAATTCAAAAAGAAATGTTGATAGGGTGGGATAGGGGGCTTTTTCGAGATACAGGGGCTTTGTCAAAAACTGGGATAAAGCCACAGAATGTCCTATAAATAGATAAAGTTTATTTCTCATGCATGTTTATACACTAGGTAAGCAAGAGC